AGCACTGAGCTGCATCCCAGCCACTAGTTGATTCATTCATTGTCTAAAAGTAGAAAATGATGGGACCAGAACAGAGAAGGAGCCTTAAATTAATCTCAGAGCCCAGGAGGGAGGAATTATTATTATTATTATTATTTTTTTATTATTATTTGTATTTGTATTTTAGAGAAGGGTCTACAGGGTGTTCAGGGTCTTACTACCAAATCAGACTTACAGTGATCTGCCTGTTTACAGCCTCCCAAGAGCTGGGATTACAGGTGTGCACCATCATGCCCAGTCTCTAAAATATCTTTTCAGTGTATCATTTCCAAATACTTTACATGTCTACAACAAAGTATTAAATTCATTTCTTGCAATTCAAGAAAATCTATACTATATAGAGATACTATTTTAAGTTTATAATTCTTTTATGAACCCAGTATGTAAATCTGGAATATTTAATAAGCTAGTAAAAACTTGTATTCATATAAATAAAATGTACATTTATTTTTACATTGCTATGAAATATTAGAATAAAGATTTCTAAACACTTCTAAAAATGTGAATGTGGATGGAGATTAAAACAAAGCTGTAGAGGGGCTGGTGAGATGGCTCAGTGGTCTAAAGCACCTACTTAGAACAAGCTTAGCAAAGCACAGGGACCGCGGTTCAATCCCTCAGCACCACATGCCAGCCAGCCCGACCCCCTGGTGGGCTGAGCTGGCCACACACACACACACACACACACACACACACACACACAAATAAAATTTTTTAAAAAAGCTGTAGAAAAATGTTAACAATTGGTGATACTGTGCTCATCTTTTGATTTTTCTATAACTTTAAAGTTTGGGAAAAAATAAAATAAAATAAAGTTGTGGAAAACAATTAGTGGAGAACAAAGATGCACCAGTCAGGTACAGAACACTATTGAGAAGTCAAGTAAGATGGGAACCCAGATATGATCTTAGTTTGGCAAGATCCTCATCACTGATGACTCCTGCAAGAACATTTCAATAGAGTGTTGGTAAGAGGAAACATAGGCAGGAATGAAAAACAAAGAAGTGGAGTGGGTGAATACATGTAATTCTTTCAAGAGTTTTGCTGTGAAGGGTAGCAGAGAAATAGGATGTTAGAACCAAGGAGTTTCCACTTACCAAAGGGAATAGTAAGACATTTCATATGCTGATAAGAATAATATGGAAGAGAAGAAACTTATAATGTGGCAAAGAAGAGGAATAAAAAATGCAAGAGAAGTCTTTGAAACTTCAAGAATGTATTAGTAATGGAATATCCTCCGACAAAACTAAATAAAAAAGGGATACAAATGAAGGACCATTTTGTATCTGTATATTCAAAATAGTTAGGATAGATATACAGCTACTTTCTCTTAATTCAGTGAATAGAAAGATTTGTACTAATAGTGTTTGTGGACAGGATTCCATGTCTGCATCTTGTACTATGAATAACCACTAAGAAGACAACAATATGCAATATATTAATTACTGAAACTGTCCTACTAATTGGTTTTGAAACTTTCACATTGCTATTTGTTTCTCAATAAAATTATTTTTATAAAAAAGAATGTATTAGTGAGTCATAGCAGGGGCTCAAAAGGAAGAAGTCAATCTTAGAGGACAGTGATGCTAATGACAATGAGAATGGTGGCAACACAGCAGCTAAACAGTATGTTAAATAGCTAAATAGTATCTAAAAAAGATACTATTACATCTTTTTTCAGCTAAATAGTATCTTTAAAAGATACTATTTAAAGCCCTTTTACTCATTTAATTTTCATAACAGCCCTATGGGAAGCTATTACTAGTATTTCTTTTTATAGATAAGGAAAGAAACATTATAAATTATAAATGGTTTATAATTATAAAGGTTATAAATTATAATTATAAAAGTTAATTTTATAGATGTGGTTAATTTACTTGCCCAATGGTACATATCTGGCAAGTAGCAAAGCCAGAATTTAGAACCCAAAAGAAGAGACTTTTCTTTCAGGGCAAAAAGAGGGAAGGCAGTATGTGAGGGTGTAGACACAGCTGGGCTGGTGGCAGTGGAAACATGATGTAGCACTTCTGTCATGACACCTATTTTCTCAATATAGCTTTCAGTTAAGTTTTTCAGCTGAGAACTGAGAGGGTAGGGTGAAGGGATATTAGAGATTTGAGAAAGGAAGGTGAGAAATTTTTGTTTCAGAGAGAAAGAAAGTAAATTTATTAGTAAAAAACATCAGAATTGAATTTGAAGAGAATCCACTTTTCCTGATTGAATATTTTCTAGCTATTTTCAGCTGCTGAGAGTGGACACAAAAAGAATGTGTGGATTTAACTATGGTGGGTTTTCCCCAAGCAAATGAGAGCTTTAAAAACAAACAAACAAAAAAAGGAACCTAGGAGCGTCAGGAGTTTGCCACAGTGCTGACAGGAGAGAACCACAGAATCAAGGCTGGGTAAGGAGGGATTTAGTACCCAGAATGCAATAGAGATAGAGAAGTAGGTAGGGCCAAATGGCTGGAGATCTATCAAAGGAAAAAAAAAAAAAAAAAGGTAAATGTGATATTATAGTAAGAGACTAGCAAGAAGCAGAATGTCTAAGGAGTAGATTTTAAGGGAGTGCCATTATAGAGGATGATAAATTACAGGTTATAACAACGGAGATGGACCAATATGGTGGCACCAAATAAAAGATGACTGGATCAAAAGTTGCTAGAGCACTGGATGAATCCTCTATGTTATGACAAAGTTATGCACAGATGACAGACGTAGCAGTAGAGAGCTGCTGGTGACAGTGGGAGAGATGACAGCAACAAAGAAGGCTTAGAGAAGCAAGCCTGATATATACACCAATGTTAGGGGGACAGAAAAGGGAAGCTTGGTGGGTAGTAAGGATGCTCCCGCCTCCCTGCAGGCTTTGAGGCAGGAAAATAAATGAAGCTCTAATTTGAAAAGTATCTTCAGAGCAAGAGGGTAAAGGGACTGATGTAGCATAGCACTCAACACATGGTATGTGCTCCATCTTTCTTGAATTTTAACCTTAATTTTTATAATTGCATACTGTATCTTAAAAAGTAAATTTTAAAAAATTTATGAACAATCTGGAAAAGATTAAAAAGAAATAAATATCTTCTAATGATCGTATTTTTGAAATCCATGAAAGCTCATCTTCACAAATTAGTTCCATGGCCAACATAAATAGAATCAAACAGCGTCTTATTGTTTTTGGCTTAATATAAGTAACCAAGTCACTCTTATGAAATAAATGCAGGCATTCTCTTGCATAAGAACCCAATATCAGAGGAACAACATCAAGTGAACTCTGCCTTGATGAAGCTTAGAAAATAATCTCTCTGAGCATGAACTGACCAAAGTTTACTTTATATAGTGCAAGCAGAAAAACTTAAGTGCCTATCGAATGAGAGTAAATGAGATCTCTTAATGACTTTCTTTGGAATATAATGCAATATATTTGGAATACACTGTCCTTTGAGTGATACGATGATTCCATGAGTGACATTAGCCTTTACTGAAAAAAGATGCCCTTCCCAATGTCAAGGTTCTTTTACTCTTAAATTTGTTATGAACATCTTTGTAAAATTAAGCAAATGCCATCGTTTTAATGCTTTTACAAAAAAGGTCTATGTTTTATATCCATAAGTTGTAGTTCATAAACCAAGTTTGCATTTCTGCTAAGCTCTCTGTATTAAGCTCTATGAAGGACTATGAAATTCTATAGTCCTTTGTAGTCTTAAATATATAACGAAAAAGACTGAATTCTCTAAAGACTGAATTTTATTATAACTTACCTAGAATATATCCCAAAATCCAGTGTTTCAGTTTATATTCATTTGTACTCATATTTGTATTGAACAGTTTAATTATGACCATCAATCAAAATGTGGACTGGTTCAACTGCAGGTTAGTTCAAAGGACTTTTTCACTTCGGCTTTCCCATAGATGATGAGGTATTTATCACAAAACAAAAAAGTACTAGTACTTCTACGATGCCAGATAAATTGACCTCAGAAAGGTCACCTCTCTTATTTCAATAAGCCTAATGTGCCATGTCAGAGAAAGCAATCTGTCAGTAATATATGCTCACTTGTTACACACAGCTGGGAGAAAGTTATTTCTTGGCTTCATGAAAAACCCAGCTGGAAGTAATCTCTTCTTAAGTAATTTTTTTTTAGTACATTGTATATTATTTATGGGAATTTCTCTTTGGAGTACAGTGATTTCTGTGCTTGTCTTATTTTTCCTACTAGACTTTAGGCATGTACCCTATATCTTAACATCTTCAGATAGCCTCAACATATCAGAGAATTAATTTATTTTGTTATCCAGTACTAGTAGTAATATAAAATATAACAGTGATAGTATTAATATCAGTCTCATCAATATTATGTGCTATACATAAATTGGCTTTTTTTTTTTTTTTTTGGTGGTACCAGGAATTGAACTCAGGACCTTGAGCTTGACAAGCAAGTACTTATTCCACTGAGCTATCTCCCCAGCCCTTAAATAGGCTTCTGTGGTTAATCTAGAATCATATCAATATTGGGTAACATAAGATACTACTTTTTTTTTTTTTATGTATTTAGTTCAGGGTCTACAGGGTCCTGTTTTCAGCCTAAGCAGGTGCTTTAGTCCACTGAGCTATCTGGCTCAAAGATACACTTTGAATTCTAAAATCCTAATTTACAAAGGCATTGTCAGAACACAGGAGGGACTTACTTCCAATACAGTAGAACTAGAAAAGTCCATGACAGCAAGTCTATAGAACACCCAAATACCAGGTTTCCCAATCTCACAATAAATTTCCCTTTAAAAGTACAATAATCTTTTAAAAAGAGTAATAAAATTGCAATATTATATAGAAACAGTGGTAAAATGCTTCAAAAATAATGCATGAACACACACTTAGCCAACTGAACATTTTAAATGTCATTCATTTAATCCAGAAAATCTTGGTTAAACAAAGGATGCAGTTCATAAACCAAACTATCAACTTACCATTTATGTTAATTGCTGGTAATACAATTGACATTTTTGGTCTTGTGGTCTTGTTATGGGTTGTAGCTGGTAACAGTAGATGATCCTAAAATTAACAAAGAACAATATGTTATTTATTGCAACTGGCTTGCTTAGAACAGGCTAGATTTAGGGTTTCTAAGAGGCCAACATTTCATTTGAATCACACAAACAAACAAGCCAATTTTGAAATTGGCTTACACATAATCAGGCACAAATCATTAAGATCATTTATTTGTTAACGATGTACACATTTACTGGCTATCCAGCATTGCCAGGCACGAATACTCCAGGGTTGTGATATATACTGCAATGTAATAAAGAGTTTTGGTCAGGCAGGCAGGACAAGGGGTTGTTTTGCAGCTACATAGCTATATAGTCTGGACAGGACTACATATCCTCCTTTCAGTCCTGTAAAATGGTTGGGCTTGACTAGAGAATATCATAAGATACTTATAAGATTATAAGAATATTAAATATCCACCACTAAGTAGTCATTTGAAAGCTTTTTTTGTAAAGGAGAAAAACCTTTTCTTCTTCAAAATTCTTATCTCAAATTATTGATTTATAAAAGAGAGAGGCTGTTAAAACAGGGTCTAAGCCTAGGGTCTTGCCTGGCTTGTCTGTTTTCTCTGAAGTGACCACAGTATTTATTTGTGACAGGTACACATTAAGGAAGATGTATAAGAGGCTTAGGCTTAAAAACTTCTGTAGAAGAGCTTAAGAAATTATAAATGTGTGCATAACACAACTACACAATTCTAAATATAATCTACCAAACTACTGATGGCCTATAAGTAAATCAAAGTACCTCAAATTTCTGGTCTCTAGTCACATAATTGTTAAAAGAATAAGCCAAGTGAAGTTTAGTCTCAGAAAAGGCAGGGAATTTATGAGTATCCTGGAAAATGTATGTTTATCTGTATCTGTAAAATGACTTTGATATTAACTAATATTTTCAGTAGCTCTTCTTCCTCTTAGCAAATCACAAGAATGGTCACCAAAAAAAATGTATGTTAGTATTTGCATTTAAAAAATAAAAAGTGAAATAAAACGGAACCTAAGTTTAACCCATTTTGTTTTGTTTTCTTGTTCTTATATTCATTGTTTTATTATTCATTAACTCAACAATCTTGCTACATAGAACAACTCAAAATATTTGAACCAGGTGTGACAGTGCACGCATGCAATCCCAGCACTCTGGGAGGCTGAGGCAGGAAGATCACAAATTTAAGCCCATCCTGGGAAATTTAGTGAAACTGTCTCAAAATTTAAATGGGGGTGGGGGAGACAGGGAGGTGACTCAGTAGAATAAGCACTTCCCTGGCAAGCACAAGGGCCTGAGTTCAATCCCTGGTTCTGGGGGGGAAAAAAAAATTTTAAACAGGATGGGGAGCTGGGGATACAGCTTAGTATGAATACTGTAGGTTCAATCTTCAGTACTAGAAAAAAAGTAGGATTTGATATAACTGACAGTGACAATAACTCAAAGCTATTTAGTTCAAAAGCAATGTGACTATGAAATGCAGTGTCAGCAAAGCTAAGGGGAAAAACAACATAGAACATGAGCAACTTGCAAATGATACACATGAGCCAACTGTAGGAAACATTTCCAGGCACGTGTTCTGTGTATTTCAAGGCAACATTTCTATGAGAACACTTTAGAAAAGTGAGAGGCCGACACTGAGTCCATGAGAATTCCAGAATTACAATTCCAAAACTGCAGCACAGAAGGTTGGGTTTGCTTTGTTTTGTTTTTTAAGTGCATTGTTAGACACAAACATAACACATTTTTGAGCTAAAATAACACCTTTATAACCAAGAAAAAAAAACGTACAATTTTCTGATCTTCTTGCTATGAAAGCTATACATTGCTTAGTTCCTATAATTAAACTATGGCTTTAAGGTCTCTAAATTGAATCAGAAAACAAACCCAAAAACTTGCAAGCCCCAAATTAAGGTCACTGTAAAAATAAGCACACTTAAGATTCCATTGGTCATGGGTTAAGGTCAGGCTCAGACTTAAATCTGAATTTCCTGCTAAGATTTAGATGCTGTATACTAGTTCTGTTTTTAAATATGATTTGCATAACACAATGTCTCCTGCTACCTTTTTAAGTTTCAAATAAAGTATTATTTTTGCAGCAAAAAGTCAAAACTTATGCTATTATTTATGAAAAATAAGGATCACATATTGTACATATATAAATTGTTACAGTTAACTTGTCTTGTCACTCAGCACTAAAGGTTTGCAAACTGGGACATAGCCTGGATGGATGGATGGATGGATGGATGGATGGATGGATGGATGGATGGATGGATGCATGGTGCTGGGGATCGCACCCAAGGCCTCACACATGATACAATGTAAAATTTGAAGTGCTTACTAGAAAGCCCAAAGGCCAAAAATGCTGGGGACCAAATGTGGGGCACTACAAATTCTAATAATGCTTGATATTAAAAATAAGTATACACAGAGACAGCTAGAACAGGGCAGTTGTTTTACTTCACATTTACTTTCATTTCCTCAAACTAAACGTTCCTTGGACCTCACCACAATGAACCTTTTTTTTTTTTTTTTTTTTTAATCATTTATTTATTTGGCACAGGGTCTCACTATGCAGCTTGGACTTGTAGTAATCCTTCTCTCAGCCTCCCCAGTGCTGGGATTATAGGCGTGCACAACCAGCTGGTTTTGGTGGCCAACACAGTGCACCCAGGGTTCCATGGCTGGCACGGCATGCGGCACTGGGGATCAAACCCAGATCCTTGCGTTTGCCAGGCAGGCGCTTATATCACTGAGCTATCTCCCCAGCCCAGCTGCAGTACAGTACACTTCTGACACCAGAACTTGAGTACAAAATTATAAACATCAGTAGCATCAAGCGTGAGATGTGACAGGTCACATGCCTGTCGCAGGAGACATCACAGGGACCTTGGAGATGCAGCACTGTAGGCACATGCTGTGCTGAGGGCTGAGCCCCAAAGGGACAGAGGTAATCAAAATTTATAAAAAATGCTTAAATTTTAAAAATCTGTCATGTAAGACATTGCTGTGAATCTCCCTCAAAATCTTCCATGATTCAAACACTTGTACCATAGCTTTTGCCACTTTCTGAAGCAGTTCTAGAATTCTTCCTGTGTCTTTACAAGGTAAGATAAAAAATATGATGAATACTGCCACTGAGGACCATCCAATAGAAAAAGCCAGGCTCATAAAAACGTGACACTGTGTCCTCGTCCACCTTATGCACCAGATCTGAAATCATGCAATTTTTTGCTTTTCCCCAAAGTCAAAATGACTGTGAAACATCAACATTTTGAATCAACTCAGACATCATCAGCCACGAAAGTGTAACAAAAGACACAAAAGACTCCCAGAGCTGCATCAAAGTGCCAATTAAAAAAATTAAATATTCACTATACTTGATGATAATTTGGATCCATTCTATTTTTTGCTCTTGCTTTTTGAGACAGTTTCACACTGTAGCAGGCTGGCCTTGAGCTCGCTGTGTAGTCTAAGCTGGCCTTAAATTCATGGCGATCTTCCTGCTGCCAGAGTGGCATTAGTGGGGCGTGCACCAGCATGCCCAGCTGCTCGTGCATGTATTGTCTCATTGTTTATTGTAAAAGGAACGAATGGCAGAGACTAACAATGGGTGCCGTAGGCCATGTGACTTTTCCTTTCTGTCACTTTGTCACTCTCCTGGGCCAGAAGCCCCATCCACAGCCACAATGAACCTTGAGTTGGGTGAAACCGGAAGAACTTTTCTGTGTTCTTCTCATTCTTTAGGAACATTAATACTATCAGTCACAACTGTAGAGATGAAGGAGCTTTAGTTAATGAGTCCACAAATGTTTACTGACTTCTTACCATTCAACAAAACATATACTAAGTACAGTACACTGGCATGCACTCAGCCCTGTGCTACAGAGGATGCTTTCTTTTAAAGCATATAAATTTAGGTTTTATAAGCTTTTATTCTGCTGGGAAAACAATGTAAATTGTGGCAGAAATATCCATTTGTCTCTAGTACACGTTCCCCTTCTATTTAGAGACCTACAATAGTCTGGCATGAAGTCATCAAGCATAAAAAATACCCTACAGCCTCCATACAACCAGCTGAGGCCACAAATTCTATTCAACAGGCTATAAGAGAAAGTTGTACCTGCAATTTCTCCAAGATGACAATGGTAGAAAGGTCATTCTCTCCTTCTTGGTAGCTAGTAGGCAGATATAACTACATGACTGTTAAGCTTAACTGTCAACTTAGCTGCTGAAAAGGTGACTGGACTATGGGGACACTACCCTCATCAGTGAATTAATCCACCAATGCTCACAGCTCAATGTGCACTTAGGAAGTGGGGCCCAAAGAGGTGCATCACTGTGGACAGGGGAACACCTGTGGAGAGCTGGTGCTTGCCCGCTGTGCTCTGCTTCTCGTCTGTCCTGAACTCGGCGCCTGGCTCTGCTGTACCCTTCCAGTTTCTACCTTGGAGCCAGCCAACCAAGAGCTGAAACTATAAGTCAAATAAATATCTCCTTTCTTAAGTTGCAGGTGTCAGGTATTGTGTCCAGCAATGAGAAAGCTGACTAACACAGAAGATTTAGTACTAGAGAAGTGAGATTGTTGCAGTGACTGTACCTGACTGTACCTGATGTTTGGGAACATAAAAACACAGCACTATGAGAAGAAGCCTCTTAAATAAACAAACAAATAAATAAAATTTAAATCTAAAAAGGGTCGGGAGATAGCTCAGCAGCATTAGTGCCTGCCTGGCAAGTGACAGGTTCTGAGTTCTATCCTCAGTACCAAAAATAGTAATAATAAAAAGAAAAAAAAATTTAAAAAGAAGCCTCTTCAATTGGTTTCTGGAAAGTTTGGAAAGGTTTGAAGATGCAGGCTAGGAAAGCCCTAGATTTGTATAAGCTGAGCTTGATGGGCCACTCTGGTTGGAGCTCAGAAGACCAGAATGCTGATTTAAAAGATGGATGCTAAAGGCAAGGCTCATGAGGTTTTAGATGGGACAGTAGTTCTCCTGGAAAATGGACTACAGGTCATGAAT